GCCCGTCTGTGTGAAACAACAAATTGCTTAATTTACCCCTACGGCAGGGACGGTGATTGCATGAGTTCAAGTAAAATATATTTGATCTCTTGTAATAATTACGGAGATGAATATATTGGCGAAACGGGCAGACCTTTGTGTATACATATAAAAGAACACCTAGATGGCAAACGAAAACTAAGACGAAGCACCCCACTAGGCACGCATAGGATACAAAAGCACAGCGGAGACGATTTTGAAGTAAAAGTCAATATCCTTGCACAGGAGTCCAAAACACCAGCGCGAAAACTTCTTGAGGCTTTTTGGATAAATGCCAAAAACCCCACAATGAATAGCAGGGATGAATGCCCGGAGGTCATACGCGACCTGATCCCGTATGTTCGCATCAATTTCTGATGTGGGATGGCGCAGTCATCAACCATATGCGACTATAATCAGCTGTTCTAAACTTCCTCATTGGAAGTCACGTAAAAAGCGGTGGGTTTTTCGAGAAGCTGTTGATCGTGTAATTACCAAAGAGTTTTTCGTCTTTTTGTAAGTGTTATTGAAGCGTTTAGCCTAGTAGATTGTATATCAGTATGCCCTTCCATGCTCTGATGAAGGGGATACTGCCGAAACGTCAGCTAGCGTTGTATTGTATTGTGTTTTTTAATGTAAATAAATGTGTGCTGTTTAAAAACTTCGCAATTGCTGAACAAGGAAACGACACATTCATATTCCAATGCCGAGGTTAATAGAAAGTCGATCCTGGGAACTATCTTTGGAGTCATAAATTTTCGTAGGCTTTTCGATACGGAAAACCACACCAAAACAATGTGATTACCTTGAAGGAATTCAAGTTAAAGCCGACATTCGTGAACATATTGGCAGAGCCCTTATGGTCGTTTAGCGCAGATCCCGTTGTTAACTTTCCCATTGCTCGTTGTCGTCTCACAAAAGCCACCTGTCACCTCGTCCAGCAATAACTTTCTCTTCATCCAACTGAATGATACTCACCATCAAGAAACCTAAAGATCGTCGCACATTAAAACTGGCTACATATTTTACAAACAGGCTGTAGGGCCTACTTGTCCCTTACATTGTAACATTTACCCAGCACCGTCGTTTTATAGTGAGATAAACCACTGCTTCATCGGAATGCGTTTTCATACAGTTCATCCAAAAGCTGACAAAAGGCTGTCGTTGTTCAAGAAAAAAAATTGATCGTTTACCAAGAGAAGTCAGACTTTCCCCGTGTGATTGGCTTGCCGATAATAGCAGGACAGAGGGATTTCAGCTCCTGATTGAAATGTTATATTTCGCACTTACTTCGAATATACTTTGAATCTCCCAAGAAAGAGTTCGACTGAGACCGTTAACACATGTATTAAACTACTGAAGAAAGCAAGACATTCTTCAGGTTCTATCCAAATGCAATGCTCCTCTAATAACTGGGAGAAAACACTAGTTCCGTACAGGGCGTACAGGGTAACCTGCGGCTCCAATTCTTTTACATGACATTACTACATGATGCGACATCACATGCATCGCAATGTGCAGATCCAGCACTTTCATTCGATTCGTTTCCTCGCAACTACCACCCACGAAGAACGTTTTCGCGTGTGGCTTCAGCTGTCGCTTGAGGATTTTTTCGTCCTCGTCACGAATGCCGTTGAATGCTAGTCGAGTCGATTCTCCGTAGAATCCTGTAATAATCATGCTAGAGCACTTTCACGTGGATGAGAAGCAATGAGTTTGTCAGAGACAAGGCTGGTACCAATTTCTTCATGACCAGTAATAAAAATAGCCTTGTTTTATTTATCAATGCAACATTTTATTACCGGCTCTAACTAGTGAAGACCGAATTCCGGCGACCCACCACTATAGAATCAGAAACGAAGACTTGTATCCAAATTCCTCCATTTTCCGTTTTTTTCAAAATTTTCCAAAATTTCTCTTCAAAGATATTAGTCATATGAAAGGATCTGGTTGGTTAGTGGCGAGGGTAAGTAGCAAGTACCTAATCAAATGATTAAGAGTGAACAGTGCACTATTTGCGACATTCGCTGACCTGTAGGTGGATTCTAAAGGTGTGATGAGCTCACAGCCTTTGATATTTAAACTGACCTTGAAGATGTTTTCTATATATACATAGTAATATTCATGCATGGACGAGTTCAAACCTCATATCAAAGGGTTAGAAGCTACCTGCCGGTACTCTCACGTAAACCATAACAAAAAAGGAGAGAAAAGGATGGCATTTCCTCCCTTTTGGAGCTTAATGAAAAGCATTCGCGTGCAAAAGTTGCCGACAGAGACCTTACTGGTGTTGATATAAACGGATAAAAGCTTTCAGCGTTGATCACTTTCTGAAGGATGCTACATGCTTTCGCCTTCTTCAAACTGTTTGAATGCACAGCTAGCTAATGCAGTGACCTGGGATAGCCAAATAAGTATGATGCTATCCTCTCAGGCAAGTCTGGTCCCAATTTGCTAACCCTGGTCAGATAAAAAACTTGGCGAGATCAGAGAGCGGACTCAAACCACGTACCGATCCAGCGCATATCGCAGAACGTCTAACCGCTTCGGTAGATGCACCCTTTTGGTACTTGGTACTTGGTACTTGGTACTTGAATGGCCCGTCATCACTAGTTGTGCGGGCCCCAGCATAGTCACCATTTTTCGAAAATTTGCTGGTCAGGCCATTGTGATTCTCTGGAATCCCGAGGACAGCCTGGCCAAAGTCTGCCCCAGATCGTCACCACGACAGGCAGTCACAGTCCTTGTGGATCAAAGGGAGTTTTACCACCATGCGACTGTAATATCAAGACAGTAGTGAATCCTGATATTGGTTTACTCTTAGCTAGACTTCCTGATGGAAAACTCTTTCGCAGCTTGGGAGACCCTGCCGGAGGGACGAATCTCCCGCTGTACATCGCAGTCCGACACCCAGGAACACTTCCCAGCCACGATGAGGCGGTAAACCGTTAGGAGGGATGCACCCTTTTGCTGTTTACATATATGATTGATTAGTTCGGAGTAAATTTAGATAACCTCACCTTCATCTGCAACTGTATATAATTAAGGCTTTGGCAAAAAGCTAAGGGTACACGAATTTTCAATGCTTACGGTGAGGGAGAACATTGCTAGAGAGCGTTGAACTTACAGCAATGCACTGTGGATATTGTATGGAATTATCCGATTTAGATTAGTTCGTGGTCATTCTCATCAGTGACGTTCGTACTCGATATCAATACTCTGCCAACGGTGATCGGAGTGGTTGTATTCGGTTATACATCACACATCTTTTTACCGAGCCTAGAAGGAAACATGAAGGTAAGCAGTAGAGAAATTGAAGAAGAAGGAAGAAGAAGTAGAAGAGAAGCAGGAGAGGAAGCAGAGTTAGAGATCATATCGTGAGCTATCACAACAATAAGCAACAATTGTTTTTGAATAAATAAAAGCGGACACCATATTTAATAAATGCTCCCAAATCATTATTATTCATCGTTCTCGAGCTATTTGATGCGAGTGGATAAAATGTGCACTGCCGCGGTCTCTGACGATAATTTTTTCCGACAAATTCCTGAAAACAGTGGAAATATAATTCATGAAGAACTCTTTGCAGAAGCAGCTTAACCGCATTCAACTTTTAGCTTTCATATTAGCATTTCTCTTTTACAAAACAGTAATCCTTGGAAGCCATTATTTTCTGCCATAACGCATTCAATGGGCGCGTGTGGCGCAATGACCGGAGGCGTCCTGCGACGCACACGTGGGATTGATCCCGGGCCCGTGGCTCACCAAACGTGGAGGATAGTAGCGCTGGATCCATGCGTCGATGAGCTATCGCGAGTCATTATAAAAGTCAGATATGCATTCAGTTACCTCCAACGATACTTAATGAAGTCGAGTGTATGGCGCATCCCTCAGGGATTGATCAACTCCGAGAGCTTTATCTTTTGTCCTTTTAAAGCATTCAATCAGATTTACGTTCGGTACGATCGAAAACTTCGTGATTAAAAGTTCTCTGTCTGCTGTGACCTCTGGAGTTTGTCTTCGCTATCTCGATGTTTTTCAACAAATAACGGATGGTGTGCATTGTATACAATCACGGGCTGCGTGCCCATTGGCCAGCATGAATTCGTGTCATCTTCTTTCTGAGGGTTTACTTTGGCACACAGAGGTCTTTTCCTGCAAATCTTGCAATAGATTGATGGCTCATCGAATACAGATGTAGCGAAGGGCGTCCGTCAACCGAAAAAAAGACTATTCTGTAGTTAGAAATATATAGAAAACCTCTCGAATAAGTTAATCGACCGGCAGTTTGAGTAGTAGTTAACACCTATTTAAACTACAATCGCTATAATAAGTTATATTCATTGAATAGAATGTGCGAGTTTAGACAACACCGGGGTGACACAGCATAAGTTGTAAAACACTTCCACAGTCGGAGAGGAAACTATTTGTGTAATGGGCCTGTAAGTGCTGAAAATGGAGTGCCGTCCTACGCGATAGACCCACTAAACGCCGTGCTTCAAGAATGTCTCAGAGTCTTTCTTCCTTCGACAACTTGTTATCTACCGCTTTCATTGAAACATAATAATATAATTCGATGCGTTAACGCCCACTTTTTCTTCAACACTGACTCTTTTCTAGAAGACTTATTCTACTAATCAGACAGAGACACATCCAGACTCAGTCATTTCAAGGATCCCAAGGAGTTCAAGTGGATGTTGAAATGGTCGCACATCGCCGCGGCTTTATTCAAGGCAATTTTCGGATTGTGCGGATTTCTGACATTTGGCGAACTTACTCAGGTTGTTTTACAATGCCGCTTTAGAAATGTTTTAGAAGCTACCAATGTGCTACGAAGGCGATCAGCTGCGCAACTTCGGCGAGATCAAATCGTAGGAAGTATTTATGGAACAAAAAAACTAAGATCCGATGAAACGATTATTCTCTTTTCATGGATTTATGTCTGATATAAGCTTTTCAGCCGGAAATCTCAAACTCGCTACCTAATCAAGGTTTCAAGGTAATTGTCAATTTGGTGCTTGTCATCAAGGCTCTCCTCTCATATCCACTGCCATTCTATGCCGCTGTACAGTTGCTTAAGGACAATCTATTCCGAGGAATTAAAGACACTTCTTTTACAGGGTACAGTAGACCTAAGTATTTATGCATTTGAGCCTTCATAGAATTATAAATAATCTAACGCATGGTTCGGTTTATGACAAAAGATAAAAATTAACTGTTGCAAAGCATTTGAAGGAAAATGCTGTTTACTTTCTTACGATTAGAAAGCATTTTTAGAGCAAAAAGTTCCGACAGTGTTTTATTTACAAAGGTTACTGATGAATAACTGTTTCCAAATCTAACTGCTAGCACAGTTAGATCTTCGTATTTTTCGAACAATTTCTCGTTTCTTTGGCTAGCACTTAGATACTTGGATACATGGATGGTCCGTCTTCATGGGTTATGCGAACCCCAGCAGAGTTTCCAATTTTCGGAGTTTTGCTGGTTTTGCCATGGTGTTCCTTTGGAGTTCCGAGGTGAGCCTAGCCAAAGCCTCCCCAGGTCGTTACGACCACAGGCAGTCGCCGGTCCTGTGCTTCGCCACCATGCGACTAGTTTGATACCGGGAAGGTGGTGGGGTGGTGGGACCTGGTATTGACTCACTCTTTGCTGGGCTTCCTGATGGAAGACCCAGGCTTCTTTCGGCTTTGGAGGTCCTAGTGGGGAGATGAATCCTCCCGCTGTACATCGCTGTCCGATACCAGAACACCTCCGAGCTAGATGAGGCGGCAAGCCGTTCGGAGGTCATTGACTAGTCCTTAAAGAAATGTATGAATTTTTTAGTAGGTCCGAAAAATCTCAGACTTTTGTAGGTGCTACAGTCCAGACGGATCACTTCGTGACTGGGCGCTCTTCCTACGAATTCTACTACTTCTCTTCACACTATTCATCGCATTGTCGGTACCGTACCTCATAGAATTAATGGGCCTCATCGGGAATATCACCGGTACGCCTCTCATAGAAATAAGATCTGTATCTCACCTTTCAACTATGTTTTTATTTCAAAACTGCGATATTCCATTAATTTTTTTTGTTTTACATGGACCATCTTCACATCTACTGTACAGATGCTACCAGTTCTCTCATCCGACTCGTTTCCTCACATCCGCCATCCACGAAGATTCTTGGATTTGCGTGTGAATCTCACTTGCGCTTGAGGGCCTTGTTTTATTTCACGAATGGCCTTAAATGTTGGTCGAGTTCTTTCTTCTCGGAATCGTGAGATAGCCATCTTAGGACATCCACGGGTACCAGTCCGATTCAAATTTCCTCACCAAGCAGAAATGTTTGGCCATTGGCAGATTGCATTTCTGATCTAGTAATCATCCAACAATTCGAAACCTTTTCTATATAAATCTTAAAAAGCTTTTGTTTATGTGATTTTCACTCAATAGTAAGGATTGCTGTTGACTACTAAAAGAGATTTTCTTCGTATTTTTGTTGAGCAAACGCGAGGTGTTACTATTCTTTGTTCACGATTAAGCTGACGTTTCGGCGGATTTCGCCTTCCTCAGAGCCTGGAAAGGTCAAGTTGATAGCAATCTACTCGGCCAGACGCCTCCATAAACAAACAAAGAAACTCCAAACCAAGATTTCAATCACTTTGAACACAGCTTTGCACACTCACCGCTTCCTATGAGGTTTCCACTAAGTATGTCACGTAGAGACCAACCGCACAGAAATCACATGGAAGTATAATGTGACCCTCACATCAGAAAAGCAGTTTTATATACTGCCCTATATCATGCGTGATAATGAGGCATTCTTCCCTGCGGTTCATTTTCGGATTTCTGGAATTAATCCAGAGTGCCTCGAGAGTTTTTCTCTCAGGGTTAGGAGGGGATTTAGGTTAAGGATTAGGTTAAGGATTCCATCAGGAAGGGTTCAAGTATCAAGTAAGTAAGAATATTTCAGGCGTTGTGAACTGGACAGATTACAGGCGAGACTTCGCTTAGGGACACGACACATTTCAGAACATCACCGTGCCTTGCTGAACGAAATTTCGAATGTTCAGTTATTTTCTTTTTAAAATACAAGCCTTGCCCCGAGAAAATGTAGAAACTCTCGAGGCACTCTGGATTAATTCCAGAAATCCGAAAATGAACCGCAGGGAAGAATGCCTCATTATCACGCGTGATATAGGGCAGTATATAAAACTGCTTTTCTGATGTGAGGGTCACATTATAATTCCATGTGATTTCTGTGCGGTTGGTCTCTACGTGACATACTTAGTGGAAGCCTCATGGGAAGCGGTGAGTGTGCAAAGCTGTGAATCTTGGTTTGGAGCTTCTTTGTTTGGTTATGGAGGCGTCTGGCCGAGTAGATTGCTATCAACTTGACCTTTCCAGGCTCTGAGGAAGGCGAAATCCGTCGAAACGTCAGCTTAATCGTGAACAAAGAATAATAACACCTCGCGTTTGCTCAACAAAAATACGAAGAAAATTACTTGATCAATGCCCAGGTTAATAGAAAGTCGGTCGTGGCAGTTACTAAAAGAGAATCAAACGAAACATCTTAACAATTCTCGAAATCATGCGAAAAAGGGATGTTTCACCAATTTATATCTTTGAAAATATTAAGAAACAAGGTCAGTTCATTTACCTGTGATCCAAATGGGAACGCTCTATTCTGGCCATCACAAGATTCCAGGGAGAATCATCTCGACCAAAATTTAACAACATTCATGAGGCGAACGAAAATCCTCAAGCCGCATCCGGACTCGTGCAAAAATTCCGGAGATCTTCGTAGATGATGGATGAAAACCGGTCATTTAAAATAAAGTGGAGTTATTTCAGAAGGGAATGAGTGTAGTTGTCATATCATACAGAGAGTAGCGAGAATTCAAGAACCAAAAAATGTCTGAGCAAAACCTCGCACTCATTGGTTTCTATGAATAATGAAAACCACATGCACATTGAAGTAGTGACATTTTCTACTTTTATTCGAATGCCAACGTTCGTACACTAGGAAAACATCAAACATGAGATTGAAGAGAAAGAAACGCGTTCCGGGAGCAAAGTTGGTTCTTCGCAAAATCTTTCGATAGAAACATTATGCATTTGAAGACAGACTTTGTTCAATCAATTTAAGTGGAAGTCTTCTCTTTAAAGTTGTTTAGAGTTGAACTGTCTAAAAGACAATTAAAACGAAATTCAAATTTTCAGAATTCTGAACGGAATTCTAACGGCTATAGACATCAACAGCGCGTTTTAGGGCATAATCGTATTCTAATGGATAAAATAGCTCTTATTCAGCTTCTTTCATTTTTTAAGAACAAGTCTCGACGAAGAAAAAAACTTGCAGCAGCACCACTTCTGGGCTCCATACAGTCAGAAATCCATCTTGTTAGAATTAAAGATCTTATATTTCATTGGCGAAGATCCGTAAACCCTAACGATCCTTATTTAAATCAATAAAGTCCACTTAAAACTCAGATATGTTGGTTTAAAGGTAGAAACTGCCATTATTCTCACACCGTGTGAGTGGAAATCAACCCAAGTCGGACCGAAAGCATTAAGATAATAAATAGAACTTCCGGGATTCTGATCAGTTCTTTAAGAATGTGCCATGCATTCGATTCCATTCGTAGCACCACAGAGGTGAATGAACCAATATTTCTTTTATACAACGAATTGCGGTGGTTTAATAATGTATCAAATCAGTGTTTTTGTTCTCACGTACAAGTCTGGGCCCAATTTGCCGACCACCGGGGAAGGAGGCTTGATGAGCCTGAGATGTGAGGCTGAAACAAAGACCACGTGTACGTTGTAGTGAACCTCCAGTGTTTTATGGTGCACTAGATGATTTATGGAACACAATCGTTGACGTCTTATGTCCAGAAGAATTTACAAAGACAAAATACTAATCTGATCTCCAACTCAGAGGATGACGAGCTGTTCAAAGGCAGAAGTGGACTTCTTTATTAAACTCCGAACAAGCTCTTATATACCATTTCATCGCTTAATTGCTACTTTCCAACAAAATCAACATGCGACATGATTGGATACTTAGATGGGCGGTTTTCTTTCACGCAATCGTCCATGGTGATGTTCTGCTTTAAACATGATGCGTGGGGCTCATTGTGTGATCCAGAAAGCGCTTCCACCGGCGAATGTAGATGGTTGATAGAAACCACGAATAGCGCCCGCCGAGAGGACGCTTGCATCTTCTTGGAACCCATTCCACCGCTCTTTTCGTGCAACTGTCATTTGTTCCTCTCATTACATAATCGGCTTATTCAATACGTGTTCTCTTTGATCTCGAACAGGAGATGGATTCCAAAGATCTGAGGAGCGCACACCGGCCAGACCTTATCTGTGGCGGTTCAACTAAACAAGATACCGTTCAAGCAGTTTGTGAGCGCTGCGCAGAATTTTTGACGTGCTTGAAGTCAACCCAACAGTTGAGCCGAAAAGGTGAGCGCGGAGTTTTAGGTCTGTTAGCCGATCGGTGGCTTCCTTCAAAGATCTGAGTGCGGCGTATACTCTATTCCTCTCTTCCTTCTATTTAATTCCGTCTCTTCTAATAACACCTAATTTCTGGTATTCAACATAATACACACGTCGAATTGAATCTGTGCACATTTAATCATATCCTTGCAGTCAAACATATGTAGATAGACAAAGAAAAAGGAAAAGCTAATCCGGTACAAAACCGACAGTGACTCAATCCCATAAACCAGTTTTCCTACCAGGGCAAATACATGGCGAGTTTCGGTCCATGTTTGATCCATTATCAGCATCCTGAAGACGTATCATCTACTCTGCCGATCGAATAAGCGATCTATGAGATGTTAGGAGAGCGAGTAATGTAGTGGTAGTGATTCTCTTTATTACGTGGGACGGCCCAGTTTACCCACGCATTGGTTCGATCCCCGCACTGGGCCCGAAAAGCCTGTTTCCACCCCAGGGTCGAGAAATTGGTACCAGACTTGTCTGCTACAAGCTGACTCTCCCCAATCCACGCGGGAATGTTCCACCACGGCTATCTCAGGATTCCAGGAAGAATCGATACGACCAGCATTTACCGACAGTAGTGGTGAAGACGATAAAATCCTCAGCCGCGAAGAGAAGCCACTCGGAAAAAAAAGCTCTTCGTGGATGATAGAAGCGAGGAAACAAATCGAATGCAAGAAGTGGCAAAGTCGACATAGATGTCGACTCACGTAATGAAAAAGAAGAACATGTTGTGTTCAAAGCGATTCTGTTGTAAACAAAGGCTACAACGATTTTACTAAGTACTGACGTATCTAAGTAGAATGCTGTTTCAGGAACTATGTTATCGTTTATCTGGCCAGCACTATTCCACTTAGGAATTCGTGGCGAAAAGATGGTGAACCGTGACCGTCGATTTGATCAGATGATTGTCGCACTTGGCTGTTCAATCTGCATCACTGGCATCTACTTCTCTTTCATAGAACTTCTTAGGGCAATAAAAGCAAATGACCAGTAGTAACTGACAAACACAACGATACGCTACCCCTATTAATCTTTTCTTTTTGTATACTTTCTCATCGTGCTTCACCATCATCCGCTCCTTAGATGCTCGCACTCACGCTCTACAAATCCAGTATAGGTGGCAATACATAGAAATTTGTCGTGTTCCACATATGTCGAACTATCCTATTCACAGCTAGTAGTGCATTAGATGTCATGTCCTATCTCTGTCTGCTAATTCTATAACTTTCTTGTAGTTATCATGTTATTTTGATATAAGTTACTTAATAAATTACTGGTGGATATCGTCACAACCAGTTGAATCACAGTACACACAACCAAACATTGGTAAAGTGATATTGAAACGATTTTTATTGAAACTATGGGAACAGAATGAATAGATACAAACAATCTGTACATCAGCACCACAAAATAGGACACTTTGTGATGGATAATATCAAAGCAGCTAATAAAACAAATGTTATTGCATCATACAAAGTCCACAGGCAAAAACAAGTCAGCCTACTTAGTCCACGAAACCTTAGGGATATCATTGAATTCTGTTAATTCACTCATTTGCTTATTGAACTGTTCGACTCGCTCTCGATGACTCACAGCTGCCTTCCTCTGCATTCTTTCAAACTGGAAACACATCATTAAGATAAAAGGACTGGCTGAGAGAAAGGCAGAACAAGGACTTCAGTGGTCCCATGCGTAACACCTGAGCCCTCGAAAAGGGTAATCGCGGTTCGATCTACCTTGGTGTCCAAGTTTTGCAAATATTTTTGCATCATTGTGGTTGTAGCGGCTTGTCAACTTCCCACAGATTACCAAAGCACAAAAGGTAGTGAAGAGCAAGTATTTAAACGAAACACATTACTAGCCAAAAACGACCTTATTCGTTGCACAATGCAACAACTGCAAAATATACACTAGTATAAATTAGATATACCAAGCGAAGATAGATAATATGAAGAGATGTGAAATACAGCCACAATGATGCTGAGATATGCGGAAAACTAGGAACCTCACGGGTGCTTGGAACCCTAACCCTTCGCACCCTGCCAAGAAAAGACAATAAGCAGTAAATAAAAGTTAAAACAATATAAAGAGATCACAATGTTGACATTTTATTCGTTGCCTATCACTATTTTTCACGGCAGGGTACTATGTGAAATACAACCATAATGATGCTGAAATATTTGCAAATCTCCGGACTGCAGGTGTTTGCGGTGGGGAACGACCACGATAATACCCTTTCCGATGGCTGACGCGTTCACCATCACACCATGCGGATCCTTCGTTTCGCCTGTCTCTCATGTAGTTTTCCATCTACCAGTGCCATCAGTAATCAACCTTCAACGGGACTGATGGAATATGAAGAGTTAGAGCACTCAAGCAATGCTAGGCCACAATTTCCACATAGTTATTGCAAAAACAACATTGGCCTATAATGAGAATCGCCACATTCTTGGTTAGGGAGAAATAAACTAACCATGGTTTCTTGACGTCTCTTCTCAAATGAGATCTCTGCTTTCGTTTTTCCTGCAGTACTACCATTCTCATCTTTTTTAATAGTTAGATCAATCATTTTAGGATCTACGGCCTTCTTTTTCTTCTTCTTGAAAAAATCCCCTTTCTTCAGCTTCAAAGCACCCTTTATAACTGGGTCGTCGATAGTCATCTAGAATTTACCAGTCAAAAGAAAAAACTGTTATTGGGGAACGTGCAGTGAGAAGTATTGGAAAGAAATGGTAACTTTACATATTTAAGCAAGAACACAATGAACTCGCAAATATTTATTGAACGCGAATAACGTAAAGATCCCAGGTACAGATCAAGTGTTATGCTAGTTTACTAGCATCTTCATATGGTACGCTAACCCTTCGTCCATTCATTGGGCCTTCCACAATTCGAAGATTTAAAGAAAAGTTGTCCGTATCAAGACTTTCCAGCTTCTGGAAAAAAAAAACTTCCATAAGGCTGATGCACCAAAAACACCAAATCCCACTAGTGACAAATACGACACATATGTAAGAAAACAATTAAGGAAAAACGAAGAAACAAAACCATACAAGGACAATAATGTTACTTACTGCTGTACATCCACGGTAAGCGCCATTGACAATCTTCATTTTCCGTCCAACACTGGGGATTACTGTCTCTACATGCGATTGGTCCAATTTAATCAGTACACCTAAACCCACATTAGATTTCATTCTTTACAGTGTAGGCAAAACAGTGCCAATTTCCAATAAACGTTGATAAAAATAACTTTAAAACGCTAGAAACAATAACGTGAAGACTTACCGTCACCTAATTTAACACTAGCAACGTAGTCATCGATCAAAGTCATTACAACGCCCTTTGATTTATAATATTTCTCGCCCAATTTCTTCGTTATTACCTGCAAATACGGCTGTAATGACCATTTACACTTTTTGTTTATTAAACCAGGACTGGCTTTTCGAAGCAATATACGCTCCTACAATAAATAGTATATGAACCAGAAGTGAAGAAACACATTCAGGAAAACTTGTCCATAAAAGTGGTCAGTTACAAATTTATATGGTGATTATAGCAAAGGAGCGTAACCTTAACTATGATACCCTCATGAAGCCAATGGTCCTTCCGGTTTTTTTTCTCTTTGGATCGCTCTTGGTGCTCTCGAATTTCATCAAGGGCTGATTTTTTTTCTTCTTTTTTAGAGCGTAAAAGTGGTCTCTCCTTATTTCGTCCTAAATTAAAATCAACTACAAGCAAATATTTCAAGACAGAAAGTTGAATGTGTCGTTTTCTTGTTCAGCAATCGCGAGGTTTTCAAACAGCATACATTTACTTCCGTCTTCCGGTACGGTCGTCAACCACATACGACTATAATCAGCTGTTCCAAACTTCCTCATTGGAAGTCACGAAAAAGCGGCTATGAAGAAGGCGATACTGTCGAAACGTCAGCTAGCGTTGTATTGTATTGTGTTTTTCTATGGAAGTAAATGTATGCTGTTTAAAAACTTCGCGATTGCTGAACAAGAAAACGACACATTCATATTACAATGCCGAGGTTAAGAGAAAGTCGATCCTGGGAACTATTACAGAAAGTTGAATTCCTAATGGCAGAGTCACGAATTCAACACCGAAATTCTTACGCATAAAGAATCTCAAGTAAGGTTTACAACCAATCCCAAACTTTCAAAAACTTACGAGGGCTACTCATGCGCCTTTTCCCGTCCTGACTTCTGCTACGACTTCTTTCTTCTCTAGTTCTATTCATATGACGATCCTTCCGATCATGTTTTGAATCTTCTCTTTCTTGAGCTTTTCGACGCGAATACGATGTTTCAGCATCACTCTCAACTTCCTCTTTCTTCGTCTTTATTTGGTCGAACACCGACACAGCTGAGCATATTGGTCGCTTCAGATCCTAAAATCAGGAAAACACTGGAAATTTTGAACACCAGATAATCAAACATTATAAGCCTTTAAAAGTAAAATTAATTTCACGACTGGACTCAACATGGGCCAAGAAGATGGCCAGCAGTATGGTATTACATTACAGCTTATTTGATACTTAATACTTGAATGACCCGCCCTCATTGGTTGTGCGGGCCTCAGCATAATCTTCATTTTTCGGAGACCTACTGGTTAAGCCATTGCGGTCCCTGGAGTCCCGAGGTTCGCCTGGGCAAAGTCTGCCCCAGGTCTTCATCACTACGGGCAGTCGCAGCTCTTGTGGATCAGAGGGAGATTTATCACCATAAGACTTTGATACCAGAACGGTGGTGGATCCTGGTATTGGTTTACTCTCAGTTGAGCTTCCTGATGGAAGCGCCGGCCTCCTCAATTCGGGAGATCCTACTGGGAGTGAATCACTTTGCTGTACATCGCAGTCTGACACCCGGGAACATCTCCCAGCCGCGATGAGGCGGTAAACCGTTGGGAGGACATTATAACCACTTCTGAATAAAAGAGCTAAACAATGATAATAGCAACTGTTCTGCGAAAGAGAAATGAAGAGACACAGAACTGTGCGGGTAGTAGTTCCCAGGATCGACTTTCTATTAACCTCGACATTGGAAAATGAATGTGTCGTTTTCCTGTTCAGCAATCGCGAGGTTTTTAAACAGCATACATTTACTTCCATAAAAAAACAATACAATACAACGCTAGCTGACGTTTCGGCAGTATCGTCTTCTTCAGAGCCTGGAAGGGTATACTGATATACAATCTACTAGGCCAAACGCTTCAATGACACTTACAAAAAGACGAAAAACTCTTTGGTAATTACATGATCAACAACTTCTCGAAAAAACCCACCGCTGTGTGGGTAGTAATAATAATTATTGTTAATAATAACAGTAGTGGCAATAATAATGGTGGCAATAAAAGTGACACTAATAATAATTATTAAGCAAAGTAAGCAACGAAAGTAATGATAATGCAACATTCTACTGAATAAAAAGTAGCAGTAAAGAAACATGGAGCTGTACGCCTCACTAAGAGTAATTCTGAACATTGATTCATGGAGAACCAATGAAAAACGACTCACTCACCTCCAAAGTTGGTTTCTTGTCAAAATTCAAATTCAGGACGATTTTTTCACTATCGTCATTCCTTACAAGCTCAGACGGTTGGTTTTCAACAATCTCGTTTTGCTGTTCCAAAGCCCTAAAACAAAATAGCTTTCGAAATACATTACGCCTGACAAATCAGCATTTGTCTGCGTTCGACGATCGATGGCTCCCCTACACTGTTGTATGCATATTTCCATTGCTATCGAAGTCATGAATTCTTGGTTGGGTTAGGTATGAAAGTATGCTCAATAGCGCCGCACTTTCCGATGTTTGCTGGAGTTGGAGTTTCAAAAGTTTGTTACGCAAAAACCCATAGTTTTTTGTCTCGCAGTATGGAAAAAGCAAAAACCTCTTGGCGTTGACCAATCCGTGTGGGATGCGCCATGTATTCGACTTCATTAGGCATCGTTGGAGGTGATTGAATGCATATCGAACATTTACAATGACTCGAGCTGGCCTACCGATGTATCGCACCAGTGCTGCTGACCTCCCAGACAAGTCCGGAAGCAATTTGCCGATCCCGGAGGCATGGTAAGCCTACGGAGCGGTGGTCGATCTCATGTGTATTACAACGCGACCACTGCGCTACACGCGTGCCTCACTACGCAAAAGAAAGAGTGCAGAAGAATTTAAAACCTGCACCTGCGCACTCGCTCATTAATCATTTCTTGCTGCCGTTCCTCATCGTCCTTCTCGGCCTTAATGCGCTTAGCTTCTTCGGCTTTGCGTAGAACTTCTTCTTGATCGATATACTGGATATACCAACCCGAAATAGATCAAATGAAACCATTAACTTCAAATATTAACACAAATCAATGCATCATTAATAAAAGGAAGAAAAACGGAAATCAAAAGAACCCATAACACTGTAGATATAAGTACACCTAACTTAACTGTAACACAAACGACATCTACATCCACATTGAAAAAATGACTACAAAGAGTCCTGTATTGATTTCAATGCTTTAGATATCGCATGTAGAAGTACCTTTCTCATTTTGATCAATTCTACACTTTCCACTGCTTCCCAAGTAGTGCACGAAACCAGTTAGCGTGTGCCAAACAGTAGAATTCATGTGAACGTGTCCCTGAAGCAGAAGGCCCGCCCAGATAAATAAGTCAGTTATGGTACAACAGCAAATCCTACCTTATCCTTTATATATTCTTGATACACTTCATTAGCACGCACTCGCTTTGTACCGAAACAGGTTTTCAGTATCTAAAAAGCTACTTTCACCATGGGTCGAATAGGTCGAAGAACAACAACAAATGAAGAAGAAAAAAAGTCAAAGAGGTTCGAAAGAAGAAGCCCATCCGACTACCTGCATAAAATTAGCCTCAAACTGCTTGCTGAATTGCCTCAAATATGTACCAGTGTTCTCGGCAACGAGCAGAAGTTGACGTTGGTGTGATTCAGAAGTGAGATGACATTTGAAGCCGTTCTGATCACGACACTGTTTCTGACACATCTGACAGAACCTGTCAGAAACACAATTCATTCCCACATTAAGGATGATAATATAAGAAAAGACACAGGGTACAAAAAAGAAACTATTACACCAGTTTCAATGTTTAAGATGCACCAGCTCCTTCCACAAATCTCAAAATCGATGCTTTTAAAGTACTGACAGTAAAAAAATTGAATGAAATATGACAGAGTAAAGAAAAAATGAAAAAAACGTGAACGGACCATCTCAGTTTCTGGAGTCCTTTTGATTTAATTCTATTAGCAATATCTTTTGGTGTTCCTCTCTCGTGTTTTCCCATTGCCTATGAGGGTTACGGAAGACCAGACCCAATTTCAGTTCCAAGCGTTCAACCCACTTCACCACACGAACAGCTGACGAAACCCAGAATGAGTAGAACTAGTTCTCATTGGGACAACACGTTGCCATAATCCACGAAATGCATTCACCGGAATGCAACACCAAATTCGTCTGCGGCCATTTCGTCATTTATTAATGAGCAATACATTTGGAAATGTCTTGGATTTTATGACCAGGTCGGCCTCCATGAATCTGACCAGGACCTAAGGGGACCATAGAAAGTCTGCAAAACGTTGAATACCGACTTCCTGGCAGATGCATTTGTATTTCTATGTGCATATTTCATGTCCAGACTTTGTATAGGTATCGTTCTTCGTTGCTTAATCCCTAGTTTAAGGAACGATTATGATGTAAAAATGACGGCGTTTGTACTCGGCTGATAACTTTCGCCCCAGTTGGTCATTTCTTATGTTCTTGAAGAAGTCATATGAGGAGATTCATGTTTGTCGTAATCCGAGTGCTATAACTAAGCCATAGCTAATCGTTTTCATGTTTTTAAATCAAGGAATGGAAAAAGAGCTTGAGTTATTTCCTAAATTAACCTTTGTCTTCGTTTCTGGTAATAAAGTCATGTATCAGCCTCCTAAGTGTCAGTGATGAAGCGCTTTCTTTAGCCCTTCTGTTTCCGTATCCGTAACTGGGTAATTCTAAAGTGTTGTTAGTTCATTCAGGATACATTCATGTGATGGAATTACCATCAGCAAATGCGAAGTCTCTGGCTCCAATCAACTTCGATCATTCCGAAGCCTCGGAGGAACTGAAGTTCAGTGATGCCACTGAGGAATCCATCAGAGGTTTTAGTCCCTTCATATTTCACAGGAAAACCTTTTCGTCAACTTTTTCCAGTTTTTTCTTGTCCGTAATGCCTTTTATTAGCTTCTATTGATCGCTATTTCTCTACGGCATTTCTAGTCCAATGTATTGTCCTACGTTTATGTCGCAGTTGTTTATCGAATTCTATAAAATTGTTGTTCTATAATGGTTTCTCAAGGAATGTGTCGTTCGGAATTCTGTCATCCGGACCAGGAACTGACTGCACAGATCAACGAGCTTTTCCCAACGGAACAGTCATTAGCCCAGTTGGATACAGTTATTGGTTTGTGTTCCTCTTACTTTATATTTTTAAACGTTTTATGGAAATGGTACTGTTTATCGGTGTTTCTATGTTCTCGTCTTTTAGCCGCAGTAGAGGCCGAGATCCGCGAGCTTGATGTGGAGCTGGCATCCTTGGTTGAATCACACAATGAGGTGGGATCACAAGGAGAAGCTGCTTTGCAAAAAGTTTGTTTTAAGGCCTTCTTGTATGTGACTGTTAGGTTTTTTGAGTTTTTGTTCAAACTCAATCTGATTCAATCAATTTGCCAATGATCCATGCCATCTTTTCATCTAAGCGAGAATGTTCTGTTTAACCACTTGGGCGCATATAGCGCAGTGGTGGGAAACGCGCTGCAATAAACGTGGGATCGATTCATGCCTCACAGGCCCACGAAGTCTTTTATCCTTCTGGGGTCGGCAAATTAACACCAGACTTGTCTGAGAGGATAGCATCACTGGTTCGATACATCGGTGGGCCATCGCGAGTTATCGCAAAGGCCAGATATGTATTCAGTCATCTCCAACAATGTTAAGTCTAATGCATGGCGCATCCTTCACGAATTGATCAACGCCAAGTGCTTTATCACTTTTCGTCCTTTATATGACCATTGGAATTTCGGATACTTCGTGCTTAGTTTCTCATAAACTATATAAAAGTCTAGGTTACTTACTAAATAAGTTCGGTTTGTACTGCTTTCTTCTACTTATATCCATATACTTTCCTCGAACAAGGTTTTATGACTGGAGGATTTATGTCTTAAAGCTTAAGTGGTCTAAGCAAGATAAAGCTTTTTCCTAGAGGTTTATTTAGCTGTCATAAGTTCCCAAAATTAATCTGGACAGTGTAGAAATCCAAGCAGTCGAACTTCAATTTTACGTCTCGTGTGCTTTTCTCATGCTGAAATTATCTTTAGGCCCAGCAAGCTATGATTGATTTAGAACAGCGAATCGACAGTATTCGAGGAAAAACTAGATCGTCTGATGAGGTAATACCTATAGTGCCACTCATAACTTCTCAACTATTCATCAACTCTGCGTCAGATCGTTCGGGAAATGACACGAGATATCAAGCAACTAGACATCGCGAAAAGAAATCTTACATCATCTATAACAACACTCCACCATTTGCACATTTTGCTGACCGGTGTTGATTCGTTAAGTTAGTGGGACACTCGCAGCCTCTTGATACCACTTTTTACTCGTTCTCCTGTAACTGGATTCTTAATTTTAGGTGTATGGGTAGAACAACGAGACTATGCGTCTATAGCTAGCCAACTTCCGGCAATTCTCAATGTTTTACAACTGTTTGATGAGTTTCAAGACGTAGAACAAATGGCGAAAATCACGAGCCGACTGAATAAAATGAAACAAGCACTAACGATGCAGCTGGCTGCTGACATGAAATCTGTTTTCCAAGTTGGAGAGCTGTTCTCTGCACATTCTCATCCTATTTATTTTTGTCTCAATTCCGTGCCATCTCATACCTTGTTAATGACTTTTTTGTCAACCTTAAACTCGTTCTTCGAGAGTGATCGTTTCCCGTATTAGGCTGGTCAACTCACTGAAAGAGTAACAGATATGTGCCGTGTCGCTGCGGCCCTTGAGGGCAGTGTGAAGGCGAATTTTTGTCGTTGGTTTATCGATCAACAGCTCTCTGAATATGTTGTTCTCTATGCCGAAAACGAAGAAGGAGCGTGGCTGGATAAGATTGAGGAGAGGTTTGTCGAAGATTTTAAAGAATTCCCAGGACTGACTTTCTACTAGCCTCGGCATTGTTCAGTAAGTCAATGTTTTCTTTTTAAGCAGATAGGAGGTTCTTAATAACAAAATTTATCCAAAAGTGGCTGTCATTTCTGTGGTTTCACCTTCAGAGCTTGGAAAGCTCAAATTGACGCGTAATCTATGCCAAATGCTTCCATGACACAAGCAGCGAACACTCAATACATAAATCTTATTCACGTAGTGAACATTTTCATTAAAAAATCAAATTTTTCTTCTTCGCTAATCTTCTATTCATCACGGGTGGGGGATGTGCCAGGTTCAGATCGAAAAACCAGCCTGAGGTATGGCGGAAGTCACCCGTCTCTGTGATTCATTTTTGAATTTTCGGAATATGTATGTATACATATATGTGGATGCAAAATATAAGGATAGTAAAAACCTTTATTTAATTTGGAAAAAATTTGTACCATCCTATTTTCGGAAAAAAAACTTGCACGAGTTATAATAAAAATATATAGATGTGAATACAATATAAATTTTGAAAATCCAAAAATGAACCGCAAGGAGGGCTTTTGTGTTCATGCTTGAATTCACGCCATGTCTTAGGCAGACTTTTTGTCCTGAGCCAAGCACATTCTTCGCCCACCCTGTGCGGCTTTTCTCAAATAATAACTAGGAGAGTTGCAAACGACAAAATGGTTAGTTTTGAATGTGATTTCGAATGCAGCTTCAGACTAGCTGAGTTCGCTGCCGATTTCTGCTCCCCAGATAATTCTTGTTGACGGGTGATTGCTGACAGCATTGACGGATGATAGCTAATAGCACCAATAGAGTACAAACTGGCTAAACGAAGTCTAAAAAATTCTAAAAGAAAATCTAAGCGCCTGTATTGGTGTTGTACAGCATATGAGCACGTGAGGAGGGTAATCGCGGGTTGGAAGCCCATTTGGGATCTTAGTTTTGCTCATATCTCAGCTTCCTTGTGGTTGTGCTTCATATCGCAATGTAAATAGAAGTTAAAACATAGCATTGAGTGTTCAAAATAAGCTATTTACTATGCGAGTGAAATTAATGTATCGAGTTTTCTTCTGCTAGGATTATGAAAGTGTTTGGCTGAGTGAATTCCATGTCAATTTGACCTTTCCAGCCTCTGAAGGAGACAAAACCACCGAAAAATTAGTAAGTATTGATAAATCCTGTTACTGATAACCTCATTTCAGCCCATGAGGGAAACACTGACTCGTTTTGAAGGATTCTCGCAATAATAATCATTTTATGTGTCTGTAACTACATGTCGTTGTTATTCGAAAGCAATTTTTCTGTGGCATAGTATGAAATATATTTTTTTTCTTACGTTCGTGAGAAATTACTTTCGTTTGCAGGTATAAGTGGTTCGTAAGGAGGCTAACAGATTTTGAGAGGACAGGATTGGCGAAAGTTTTCCCTCCTGACTGGGAGATGGGGCGTTTGATGACCAAGGAGTTCTGTAGTGTTACTAGGTTACCATCTTTGCATTCCAATTCTTAAACATCTCTTACCTTCTGTTCTGTTTTTGCATTTTTCCATTTAAATTTGCATAAGGAGACTAATTGAGGACTTTGCAGTATCATAGGGAAGCGAGTACGCTTTAACCTGTCAACGTGAGCATCTGTACAATCTCCGTAAAATGCCAATTTCATTTTAGTTTCTTTTTTAATTCAGATTTTTAAGCGAAACATTCGCGGTCTTCTTGGCGAACCAAATTTTTCTTGTTCAATCGCTTTGCTGCTTTAAGTATGAACCTATGCAAAAAGAGTGATCTATGAGCTCCCGAAAACAATCTTCTCTTGTGAAATGAGGTTTTTTCTTGTTGGTTGAGATTTGGATTGTGCTTGTTTTTCAACTATCGGACGCTATGTGGTGAGCAATGCTTGTTTAATTCATTCACGACGAAGCTGGTTTTTCGACAAAAAACTTCAAAAGACAAAAAATAGAGTAGGTGATAAGTCGAGAACATTACGGACGTATAAAAAAGGTTTTGTTCTGTTACCGTAAGGGATTACATGTTCTTATAAAATATTCTTTTACTTCTAGACCTGTCTAGAACTAACATTTCTCACGCAGGCGCCGCACTTGCGAGGACCATCAGTAGGTTGAAGAGTACTATAAGGTTTTTCTGGACCAAATTCAGTTGTTCAATTGCTTTCGTGTCCAAAATAGGAGTCGAGGTGCAGAGAAGCGAACAAAATATTTCGTGGGGTCTATAAAGTCATGGTTTCGTCTTGGTAGAATAGAAGAACTTGTATATTGAAGGAAAGATCTATAAATTGTAATGGTTTATTGCACGTAGTAAAGTTCAATGTAATATCAGTTGAGGTTTGTAGGTTACCTGTCGAATCCAATGCCCAATGTTATGAATGGGTAAAAATTGTTAGGAAAAGTAGCTTGTGGTGATTTACGACTCATATGTGAATCAATTAGTCGCAATTATGCTGAAGTCCAACATTTTTTCATAAACCTGTCTACTTTTCCCATTAATTGGTAGAACGTAGCGGTAAAAGTTTGCTGCTTTAGAGATGTTCTGTATCGGATGATGACGCGACGACGTCCAGACCTCGACTTCCGTCTGTTGGGTCACGCTATTCAACACACGAGAATGTTCGAAGCACTACTGATTAAGAGATTTCCTCAAAAAACAGATTTTAATTTCGATAAGGTATTTTCCATGCTTATTTAAGGTGCGTACCGCGCTCATACCTGTTGAGAAGTTTGCGGGAGTGCTCACTGTGGCCTAACCTACAACAGAAATATAGGGCGCATGTAGCACAGTGGTCGGAGGCGCTCTGCAATATACATGAGATCGATTTCCGCGCTCCAGGTTTGCCAAGCCGTCCATCGCCTTCGGGGTCGAAACATTGCCACCAGACTTCTCTGGGAGGTCAGCAGCACTGGCTCGATACATCGTAACGCTACCTCGAATCATTGTAAAGTCCAGATATGCATATATCACCTCCAACGACATGTAATGAAGACGAATGCATGGCGCATATCTCAGGGATTGATCAATGCCGAGAGCGTTGTTCTTTATTCTTTTACAACACGAATATAGTAGTGTCAAGTTGACAACATCTTCAGTTTCTTAGAATCTCGTTGACATCCTTAAATTTTCGCATTTATGGAGTATCATGGATGTCTGCTTCGAGGCAGTACTAATGACGTCTAGCGCAACCTTGGATTTGGTTGCTTATCACATTTTGGCCTCCTAGCCTACCACATTCGGTGTATAGTATACTTTGTTATCCTTTTGGGTGGCTTCCTTTTCCCTATAGGATATACATCTTCGTAAATTCACATGGCTGGCGGGCAATCGCCATTACTTGTAAACATGACTAAGGTGTTGTCTATTTGTGACTTGGTTTCTACGGATAATAGCGCTTCCTGATGTTAGTTAACGTTTTAGATGAAATTCTACCGTAGGATGTCGGACTACTTAGCCCAGCATTTTTGAGATGAACCCTTCCTATATAACATAGTTTTGCCTTCACTACAAAGCTCACTTGTAGCAGTTTAGCCACCACAGTTCGGGTAAAATAAAGAACTAAAAGTTTAAAGGATTTGCTGAAATCTGGCTGGACTTTTTTAACCCGTTCATGACGGAGTTGTTTTTCCGAAAACTGGAACACTCTAGTACCAGAGCCGTTAACAGCCTTATAGAAGAATTTTTGCTGTATGGCCTTAATTACATATGTAAAAATAAAAAGCTCTCTGCTTTGAACAATCCCTGAGGGATGCGCCATGCATTCGACTTCAATTAAGTATCGTTGGAGGTTATTGAATGTATATCTGGCCATTACAATGACTTGCGGTGGTCTACCTATGTATCGAGCCAGTGCTGCTATCCTCCCAGACAAGTCTGGTACCAATTTGCCGACCCCGGAGGCATGAAAGGCTTGGTGGGCCATGGGTGCGGGGATCGACTCCACGTGTGTGTCTCAGTGGCGTCTCCAACCACTGCACTAATTACATATATATATATATATGTATATATATATATATAACGTGATTCTGTGAAATATTCTTTAGCTTAAAGTTGTTTGGAATTGATATTCTCAAAGAATCAAAACCGAAATTTAAATTTTCAAAATCTCATATACGTAGGTGAACAACTGGTAATGCCGTGATTAGCGGAATCTATCTTTTTCAGTTGTTTTCATCGTCAAAATCCGTGCTCTGATGCAGAAAAATGAAGGAAATATGTTTCGTGCTCTCCACAAAATCATGGTCCTGTTTTAGTAGGATAAGATAACTTCCATTTTGTAGACGACGACCAATAGATTATATTGCTATTTGTTGCAATTAATTGTGCTGAGATATGAGCTTGTATGCTTTAGTTCAAAGTTGAAGGCGACCAGAGTTTTCGAGCTGGATGCATTGAAATGAATGCACACCTTTACGAATGTGTTAACTTCAATGAATTTCTGAGCACGATTAAAGTAAAAATCATCATAGACAAAATTGTAGTCTTCTCTTATAATATCTCAAGTAAGGGAAAGATTTATAAGTGGCTTATTACCTTCGTTATACGTCTTTAAATGTTTTCCCAAGAAAGTGGTTTTCTTTTTTTTCATCTAATAAGTTTTCAGAAAGTGGCCGATGTTCTCAACGAGGGTGAAAGATGTGGGAAAACTTAACAGAGCAATGTATGAAAGGAAGCACTGCGGGCAAACTGGTGCTGCATGTCGGAAAATGTTGATGAACGTTCTACACCCAAAGATACAGTACCGTGGAAGCTGAAGCCCTGAGTCGCACTACAAGAACTAGTGATGTATTTGGCTCTCCTTATTGCCACACATCTAACTGTCACTCTATCGTCTTGGAAATCTTTAAAATCTGCGAAATAAGTCGAGAGGGCAGCACTGGACTTTGTACATCTCATTCCTACGCGGGAGTGGTTCGGTGAGCACAGGTATACAACAGCTGCGAACAGCTTGCTGGGCTCAGCTATATATTCAGTCCTAACTCGATATTCCAAAGAGGAATGTTGAACTACTTGGTTTCTATAACGCAGTTGTGTTGTAACCTTTCTGTGTGAGTGTTGAGTGAAGTCAATCTGTCAGGTAGTTGTGTGACTTACTTGCTTGGAAACTTGGCTACCCATCCTCACTGGTCGTATGGGCTCCAAAACAATCTCTGCTTTTTCGGAGTTTTGCTGCTTTAGCAGTTGTGGTTTCCTGGAGTCCTGAGCTCAGTGAGGCCAAAGTCTGCCTCAGGTCGTCACCACCACAGGCATTCCCGCCCCTGTGAATCAGAGGGAGATCTACCACCATGAGATGAGTTTTATACCAGGACGGTGAAGGATCCTGGTATTGGTTTACTCTTAAACTGAGCTTCCTGATGGAAACTCCGGATCCGTTCTCAATTCGGGAGACCCTGCCGGGACGTGAATCACCTTGTTGTACATCGCAGTCTGACACCCAGGAACACTTCCCAGTCACGATGAGGCGGTAAACCGTTCGGAGGAGTTGTTTCACTCCTTGAAGAAAGGAAATTTCGTTGGTTCTTACTCACTTGTGGTTCCAACTGCTTCTTAGTCAATATATGTATATGAATTGCTGCGAACTGCGTTTGTTGAACTGAGGCAATGTTAGTACAAGTCTTTGTTCTCGTTCTTGCTGTGGTCGATGACTGACGTTCCGGCAACTTCCCTTTCTTCATAACTTGAACATATTCTGTGTAGCAATAGTTTTATAATTCTATGAAATATTTATACTATTAGTGGAGGTTTAACATAGTGATGAACAGCAATTTGTTTAAAAGCTGCTCACCATGTTGTTGCGTTTGGGACCGCTCGTGTGTTGTTCACGTGGGATGGCGAGTGAGATCTACCCAGGTTTAAAAACCAATTTTAAGAAAGGCTCCAGGTCGCGTGTGATAGTGAGGCATTCGTCTTTCCGGTTGTTTTATTGTTCTATTTGAAGCTTTCTGTTGTATTAGAATCTTTCAGGCAATTTGGAGTGTATTTGACTCGTTCTTAGACGTGTTTATCAGTGCACAGGAAAAGACGCTCAATGATTTTTTGGAAGGCTGTGCGAGTAAGATTAGGTAAATTGCTGTGTAATCTTAAGTGTTTATAGAGTTTGTTTTTTGTCTTACGTATTACCACCATTAGTTCCTAACCTTCTCTGGTTTCCTTTTTCGCAACAGATTAGGACCTCTTCCTATTCGTTTTTCTGAGGTTCGATTGTGTAGTGCCAGATTACTTACTTGGATACTTGGATGGCCCGTCTTCACTTGTTATGCATATCCCAGCACAATTTGTACTCTCCGGAGATTTTCTGGTTTAGCCATTGTGGTTCCGTGGAGTCCCGAGGACAGTCTGACCGAAGTCAGCCCCAGGTCGTCACCACCACAGGCAGTCGCCGCCCTTGTGGATCAGAAGGAGGTTTGCCACCATGCGACCAGTGTGATGCCAGGACGATAGTGGATTCTGGTATCGGTTTAGTCTTACCTGGGTTTCCCGATGGAAACTCTGGACTTCTCAGCTTCGGAGACCCTGCTGGGGATGAATCCCTCCGTTGTACATCACAACCGAGCACTCAGGAACAGTAGTCCTTGATTAATCTCATCATGTCGAATGCTGACCACCTACTTAAACTTGTGACTTGGTTTTCTGCTTATCATTTCGAACCTTCTTTCTCATTTCTTTCCAAATGTTAGAGTTTTCTTCGAAATAATTTCGAAGTCTTCGTTATATTCTTACAGATCTGGCTCCACAGCAGAGATGCCGTCACGTGAATGTTCAACCCATGCAGTGCCTTTTTCATCTTCGGCTGACATGTTCCTGCTGTTAAAAAAGGTGATTACCGAATGTAGCAAGATTAGTAGTGAACCTGATGCATTACTAAAGTGAGTTCTTTGCGGTCCAGCTCCATTTTTGTCATTATCGTTGTTAACTTTTTCTTGTTTTTGTTGTTCAAATGGAAAACATTCTTGGTGGAGTTTCCTGTTGGATTCTGTTTAATTCAGGGATGTCGTTGGTGTAGTACGTTTATGCTTGCGTAACTATGCCTACAGCTGCTTGACAGCATTTTTACCGACAGCTCATGGACAACAGAGCTCAGCAAATCTGTTCAGTTTGATTCGTGAAGACACAACATCCTTACGGTAATTCGCCAATTGTTAATAAAAAGCATGGCAGTGAACATTTCTATGCTTTTTTTTACTATTTGTTGACACATTTCTGTCATATTATATTTGCAAATTTATTCAAAGAACTGTTTTTCGATTCAATGTTTTTCATCAATAAGCAGACACGAGGTTGTTAATATAGAATTTATTAGAACACAATTGCTGACGTTTCGGCGGTTTCGCCTTCTTCAGAGCCTGGAAAGGTCAAATTGAGATGCGATCTACTCAGCCAAACACTTTCATAACCCTAGCAGATAAAACTTGACAATTCGATTTGCATTCGCATAAGAAACAGCTTCATTCAAACGCCTACCGTTTATTTGTCGTAAGTATTTAAGTTAGTTGGTGGATAGCCGCCGCACAGAGTAATACATGGTCGTTTTTCGATTTTACTGCTAAATTGATTTGGCAGTTTTTAATGACTTAGAACCGCACACCATTCTGTATGATAGTCTCTGTTATGGCGCCCCGAAAACAATACTTGTTAGCTGAGTTGAGTTATTTATTGGCCCAATCTTCAGAATTATTTCCTATTAATCTAATATTTGCTTAGTCGAGTAAGCATTTTTCATGCACAGAGACCTGTAACGGCGTTTCCAGGTGAGCCTCTCAGACATTTCATCAATACTTATGAATCCAAAGGGGTTGATCACTTCGTATTAGGTTTTTAAGAAAATGACAGGAAATTTCAAGCGTTTCCTTGTAATCAGGTCACTAATGGGAATGTTTATTTCCTTCTCAACTCGCGTAAGGTTAGCTCGAGGATCAATTTCCCACACTAAATTCGAAAATCAATTACTAGTACACAGTACTTATTACACTTGAGGTATGAAAGTGCCGAATAAGTCCAGAATAGAGAAAAAATAATGTTTTGTAGATTAACGGGAGATCAGCAATTTACCACTTGTTGTATTCTGGCTACAGCTGACTGGTGTGCTGAAACAACTTTACAGTTGCAGGAAAAACTTGCTTTGCGTTTGCCGGTTTGTTGCTTTTTATGAACACGGTAAAACAGATACAAGAACAAAAACGCATGTTATGTCACTATTGCTTAACACTTTCGCGACGAGTGGCACCTATACGTGTCATGATGGTTTTGCGGGAGTGGTCGGTATAGCACGCATAGCTCACATTTTTTTTCCGGTTTATTTTAACCCATAGAGCCGTTATCCTACACTTCTTGTTATCAGTTGATAGTTTACACAAAACACAAATGTACTGGACGTTGGTCGGGAAAAACTCTATTCTACACCTAGAAGTATGAAAAGATGTACATTTGAATACCGTGAATGTACTGTACATATAATATGCATGTATTATACTATTCATATGGGAACCTTCCAACGGTTTACCTGCTCATCGTGGCTAAGAGTTGTTGCTGGGTGTCGGTCTGCGATTTACAGCGGGGGGATTCATTCCCCTAGCAGGGTCTCCTAACTGAGAAGGAGTCTGGCGTTTCCAGCAGGCAGCCAGCTAAGAGTAAACCAATACCGAAATCCTCCACCATCCTCGTACCAAACTAGCCGCATGTTGGTAAATCTCCTTGTCCACAAGGGTGGGGACTTCTTGTGGTGGAGACGACCTGGGGCAGGCTGCCCGAATGAGCTCGAGACTCCAGGGAGCCACAGTAGCTAAACCAGCAAAACTTCGAAAAAGTGGAAATCATTCTTGAGCTCGCACTACCAGTGAAGACGGGTTATCCAAGTGAGTACACATATAGGAAACTTCCAATTCTAATTGCTATAGTGAATAATAGTTGTCGCATAGATTGTGCGGGTGTAAAAGATATTGAAATAGTGACCCATAAGTTGCAAACGCTTCCATGTGCTGGCAATAATGTATTTGTCTGATAGACACAGTAACCTGTAGTAAATAGCATTATAGATGTCGTTCATACCCATAAAACAATAGGGTGTAGTCTTTCCCACAATCCATTCATGTTCCGAACCCTTGAAGTTCTCTAGTTATCGAAAAATTGTTATTTTCGAAAAAAGACCACCAAATCCATAAAGGGCGTTGTCCAGTCCGCAATAAACAAGAAATTAGGTGTTGTAGCGAGAGTGTTCACAAGTGTATGTGTCATATTAGCGAACTGAATCTTTCGGAGGTTTCTCAACTCACATTTTTTTTGTTCAGGGTGGATCGGTAATTTTGGAGAAGTGAAGTAGAATTTAAAACATATACAATGATGCTGAGATATTTGCAAAATTCGGATTCCCAAATTCGGATCACTTGTTACCCACTGCACCACTGAGATTTGCCTTTCTCTCAGCCAGTTTTTCACCTTAATGGTCGACTGCAGCCTTGGCTTAATTGCGTTCAACGCTGATCTGTGCTTCCCAGATCTCAGCACCATTCTGGTTGTATTTCTACATAATACCGTGCCATGAAAAAATAATAAACAGTAAACAAAAAGTTGTAGAATGTGAAACATAGTTTGTAGCCAGACCATCCTTTGTGCTACTCAGCCACTTGGTGACCCAGATTGTAAATTTAACTGCGTGCTAAATATGAGAAATAACTAGTACCATTTGTATTTTTATAACGAACAGAGTATGTTTATTCATTTGTAGGGTGTTGATTTAAGTCAAGAAATGGAGACATTCTACGGCATTACAAATCAGGCACTAGCTATTTTGGTACAAGATCTCGAAGTAGCGTGTGATAGTGCGTTGCAAGCAATCGCTAAGATAAAGTAGGTATTTAAAAGTTGGACATTCCATTACATAAAATCTTGAGAGTAGCCACTTAATAGTGATTAATCTGTTTTTAGTTGGTCAGCTGTAGATGGAGTGGGTGATGAATCGTCATTTGTGGGTGCGATTCGTTCACATCTGCGAGCTGCAGTACCTCAGCTCCGTGATTTATTATGCGACAGACGGAAGTATTTTGCACATTTATGCTTGAAACTGGCTACTCAACTAGCGCAGAAGTTCGTTGGGGCATTGTTTAGATGCAAATCGATTAGTACTCACGGTGAGTCCTCCTTTCTTATGCTGTATGGAGCCTGTAATTTTGAATAATTAGTGTGTTGGCTAGTTCGTGTGGTTATTCTTCTTTTTTGGCCTATCATCCAGGGTTTTTTACAGATGGCGCAGCTCGTAGTCTTAAAATTGTCTAACTAAACCGTCTACAACCATAAGATAATAATGATGATATGTCAATGCAGAAACAATGCAAGCGACAAGGCACTAGCAGGCTGGATATTTCTTTCATTATTTTACATAACCCATCATCACATGTACTGTGCACGTTTGAGCACTTCTTGCGTTCGATTCGTTTCCTCGCATTTATCGCCCACATAGCTCTTCGAAAGCTTGTGAAAGAGCGCTTTGCTTTTTGTTTCGGTTGCTGCTTAAGGTTATCGTGGTCCTTATGAATGTAGTAGAATGTTAGTCGAGTCCATTCTTTTTGCATTCTTGGAGACAGCTAAGCTAGGGCGTTCCCATGTGGAATGGATTGGGAGAGAGTGTTAGGACATGGGGGTCGAAGTGGCGCCTTGGTTTCTGATAGACGGCATCGCTAACCACTGCGCTACCCACTACCGTCACTAGCTTCCTGGGTGTCGGGCTGCCATGTGCAGCGAAGGGATTCGTCTCGCCGGCAGGGTCTTCCAAGCTGAGAAGGAGTCTGGAGTTTCCATTAGGAAGCCCAGCTAAGAGTAAACCAATCCCGGAATCCACCACCGTCCTGGTATCAAATTAGTCGCATTGTGGCAAATCTCCTTCTCATCCACAAGGGCGGCAACTACCTGTGGTAGTGAGGACCTGGGACAGACTTTGGCCAGGTTGACCTCGGAACTCCAAGGAAACACAATGGCTAGACTAGCAAAACACCGAAAATGGAGAATGATAGAGCCCGCACAATTAGTGAGGACGGGCCGTTCAAATAAGTGTATATGTATACATATATACACATCTACAAACATGTATACACATCTACATACATTTACTTGGAAACCTGGACCGCCCGTCTTCACTAGTTGCACGGGCCTCAGCATGTTCTCCATTTTTCGGAGTTTTGCTGGTTTAGCTACTGTGGTTCCCTGGCGTCCTAAGCTCAACTTGGCCAAAGTCTGTCCCAGGTCGTCACCACCGCAAGCAGTCGCGGCCCTTGTGGATCAGAGGGAGATTTGCCACCATGCGACTAGATTTGTACGAAGACAATGGTGTATCCCGGTACTGATTTGCTCTTATCTGGGCTTCCTGTTGGAAACACCGAGCTCCTAAGCTTGGAAGGCTCTGCTGGACGGATGAATTTTCCCGCTGTACATCGCAGCCCGGCACCCAGAACACCTACCAGCCGCAATGAGGCGGTAAACCGTTGGGGGACACACACATACATATATACATATATATACATGTATATATACATATATGTACATATATATGTATATATTAAACAATAGTTTCAATTTTTAACAGCCGTGAAACATGTGTCGAAGACAAAGCCCAACGACGCCTGCGTTGAAAATTTCTCACTTTAAGCATCTGTAGTACGTGATAAATAACGCAGCTGGTTGAGTTTTCTATTGTGCAATGAATAACCGATGTCAAGATGATTTGCGAGGGGTGACAATTGAGAGAAGATGGTAGCTCTGCTATAGGGTGGTGGCGTAATATGGTGAGCGAGATGTGAAATACAACAGTAGTGGTATACTTACTTGGATACTTGGATGGTCCGTCCTCACGAGTTGTGCAGACCCAGCACGTTTGCCATTCGTTTCGTTCCCTCGCAATTGTCGTCCATGGTGGTGGTTTTATTCGCGTATGGCGGCGCGTGCGAGTTTCATACCGCGATCTGTAAAATAATTGCAGCCGCGGGTACAGCTAATTAACTTTGCTTACGAACACGTCCGCCCAACGTGTAGGTGGCCGTCGTAGAGGACGTTTGTATTCTCTTGGAGTCCACTCTGCTGTTCTTTTCGTCCATTTGGTGTAGTGGCCGGTATAAAATGGTAGTGGTTTAAGACGTTGGCATATTGGGAGACTCATGTGGGATTATAATAATAGTGCAGTAAGGTTAACATATTAGAAGGTCCATGTGGAGTCACGGTAACGTTGGATTAAAGTAATAGTACGATGTGCTTAACATATTAGAAGATTCATATGAGGTTATGATAACTTATTGGTTACTATTAGGACCACGCTTAGCGCAAGATACAGTAGTGATTTTGTGAAATTAGACTTTAAAAAAATGGAATTTACTAAGTGAAATGAGGGGTTATGATGGATATGGAGATTGCAAGGACGGCAACCAAGCGAAAACAATAGTTACCCATAATATCACTTAAATGCGTTCTGGAATGGACGGTGTTTGGCGTAGCTTCTGAGTTTCCCCGAAGTACACCGCCAGCCGCATCAATAAGAAAGTTGGTTGAAGATATTATGTGTACAGAACGTTGATGAGAAACTAATGAATTACCTCATGCAGAAAAGGTGATATAAACATTGCGACCAGTATCCAAGCGAATGACGTGACGCTACCCATCCTTGAACGGGTTGGAGAAGCTCACAGTGTCGATCTTCTAGGCGATGCAGTTTTACGCGATGGTTACGGAAAGGCGTCGATGTAGAACAAGCACGTGGGCCTTTTTAAAGTGTTTTGGAATGCGATGTATTATTTGGAAACAGCAAACAGTGTTGAGAGAAGTCTGTACTAAATATACGAGACTGATGATGAGCTAGACTATCCACTACTTTGAAGAGAATAGCCTCCATAGATAATTGGCATCTGTCTTGCCTAATTATTCTGCTATGGTGACATTTTTTACTTGATAAATAATTGTAACGTTTTGTTTGGGTACTTGTTATCGCATATGCTGCTCTACTCCGATATTGTTTCTTGTAACTTCATGCGGCATAACCATATTTTTTGACTTTCATTTTTTTTGTGATGAATCTATTCAACACAGGAGCTGAGCAACTACTTCTGGATACTCACTCATTGAAATCGTTTCTCTTACAAATGCCTTCCATTGATAGTGCTATAGCTGCAAAACCACCAATAGCATACGTTGGCGGTGTCAGTGCGGCGTTGAATAAAGCAGAAATGATTCTTAAGGTAAGTATCTTCTATCTTTTTATTCTTCTTGTGATTTTTAAGTTTATCTTCTATTCGTCTTCAATGTGAACTTGTGATAAACGTAAATTAAGATGTCTTTAGAAATATTTTCCTTGCACTTTTCTACTTGTTTGAAAGAAAAGTAACTTAATTGTAGGTGGTTATGTCAAGCATGGATACGCCTGAGGACTTCTTAGAGCACTACTCAACTTTGCTTCCTGAATCAAATACGGCAGAATTGCAAAAGGTCTGGTGCTGTTTCACTTTTTTTCGATTTCATATAACAATCCTTACAACCATCTTTAAAATTTTCTGCTCTAGATTTTGGCAGTAAAACATTAAATGCGTTGAGGATGAATGCAAAATCAAAAAATCCCAAGCAAAATGTCGGAACATCTACTTTATTGAAGAGCGCAGTTCAAGAGTCAGGAAACATCGGTTCACTTTCTTCGAGCTAAAAACTACTAGTTTGACGTACTTATAGTTAAAAGTGCATCATGCAGAAGGAGCTGGCTTAATAAATTGAATGTCTTCTTGCGCGTTTGTGCGCAAACAAACTTTCGGGTCTGGTTATGAAATTTTACCGATAGACGATTTTCCTTGCTTATTGAGGAACACTCGGGATTTTATTTTAAAAGCCGACTTTCCTTCAACCTCGGATGGACTAGTTGACAAATCTGTATGTATTTTTAAGCTAGCACGAGGCCAATAAATAACTTTATTCGCCTAACGTTTCGATGTCTTCGTCTTCCTCAGAGCCAATGATCCAAGTTGATGTCCATTGTCGTACGTGCTTTCGGTGTAGTGTCTTCGTTGTCACATCGAGTTGGATCTTCTTCAGTGGAGAATCTCTCGAATGAACCAACCCCACCCGGCGATGCTCTTTTGTACAGGACGATTGTTGAAATGATCGTCTGGTGATAGTAGCCGGTTTACCTTTGGTAGCTTAGTGCTTGTTGGTAATCATACCGACTTTCCGCTGGGTGGATTGTCCGGAAGAAAGAAGTTGGTATCATGGGACAATTATATCAACAACAGCCATCCTGTATAGAAGAGCATCGCCTGCAGAGCTTTCCTCATTCGAGCGATGCTCCACTGAGAGGATCCTATTCCATACGATGAGCAAGGCAGCACATATCGAGAGTACGAAGGACTGCAGGCATCGACTCAGATCATCGGCTTTGAGGAAGACGAAGACGTCGAAACGTTAGTCGAATAAAGGTACTTATTAATCTGCTGTTAACTTATCGATGGAAGAATACTCAGGAATGTCGACTATGCTTATTGTATTGATGTACAATCGTTTCAGCAGGTTTGATTTTGATAGGGATTCTGTCCTATTACTAACTCTGTGAAATTGCTATCATCTTGTTGCTAATTTGAGTCGAACTATTGTTACGAAATCGTTTGATTCAGGAGAGAATGACGGCACACACGTCTTCAAATTGTTCCTCGTAATTTTTTTGAAATGCGGTCTACTCACTGAAAGCCCAGATGGAATTTGTAGTGGAGAAATGTGAAATATACCTTCACTTCATTGCTTAGTAAATTGTACTTCGAAAGCCGAGCTTGTATGCATTTCGCAAGAAAGCTGATGACATCCATTTAGATTGCCATGGTGATGGATAAGTGTATTTATTGGGACACAGTTATCATGCATGAATCGAAGACACTCAGGGAACAATTCAGTTTGCGATGAAAGACTGACTTTATAATCTTAACTCTTTTATTTACTGCCTTTTTCTTCTTAATGGCAGGGTATGTTGCGAAATATAACTCGTATGAAATGCTGAGATATTTGCAAAACTCCGGACCGCAGGTGTATGTAGTGGGGAACGAACACGCACTGTTGTCATCCGGGTACTTCGCTTTGCCTGTCTCTCAGCTAGTTCTATCGATCTTTTTATATTGATCTTCAGCATTGTATACGAGTTATATTTCGCAACATACCCTGCCATTAAAAAGAAGAGGGCAGTAAATAAAAGGGATGGTGTAGTGGTGAAGTGCGCTGCTCCCTGGTGAGAACAACAGCGCGTGTTCGTTCCCCACTGCATACACCTGCGGTCCGGAGTTTTGCAAATATCTCAGCATTTCATACTGATCTTATAGTTAGGGGATGAGCAAATATAGTCTATCTGGCGCGCAAGGCTGTTAAAATCTGCCTTTTTTTTCAATTTATTTATCTTCTTAATAGTATGTCGTTCAAAGACGTAGCTCTTGAATTCTATAATATCTAGGTTCTGGACATGTGTGGTGTGAAGAAAGCAGAACAGACGTCAATCATTCAGGCATATCGGTAAAACTCATTGTGTTGACCTTTCTACAGATATAATACCATCATGCTGTAAAGAATTTTATTTTCATCAACTACGTTTAACGAACTTAGGCTAAAATTTGGAGCTGCTGCTGACTCTACTTCGAGTGTACCAATGGGAATGATTAATCCGTTGTCAGCAACACAGGCCTTGAATGCCGTAGTGTCTATGGCGGCAGATGGATTAGCTGAAACTACAAGTATGAGAAGACTTGAGATGCTGGTGAAGAGAAATTTCTAAAAGGTGTGGTGATGGTTGTGTTGTTGTTTCGTCTACAGAGCATCTATCGATAAGTCGGATGTATAAGAAGATGTGTTGTACATAATTACTCGAGTGGTCGGTGTTCCGTTTCTATTTGCTTACATGGCTTTTTTGAATTGTGGCTTAGAAGTCTACTTTATTCCTTGAGTACATTGCAAACGCAAAACCTTATACAGAAACATTTTATTTCTAATCAGAGTATTATGCCTTTCTATTTACTCTGTAAGTAAGTTGTACCAACTGCCTTTTCACTATATGGCTCTCTTCAAATATTTACAGTTGCTTCTTTCATTCTTTCTTTCTTTTTCTTCCTTTTTTCTTACATGGTTCTTTCGAATTTCTAGAAATGGGGGCTATTTTTTTTACTTTTGTAGTCTTGTTCACCTGGTCGGAAATACGAACGATTCAGTGTAGTAAATATGTTCTTACAAACTGCCCTTTCTAGCTGACATGAGGTTGGCATAAATATTCTTATTGTTGTTGTTGTTCTTGTTGTAACAATGGTTGACGTTTACCCCTCGTGAACAACACACAGGTGGTCCAGCGGCAACGCTCTGAGGGAGGCGAAGTCGCCGAGACGTCAGCCATTGTTGCAGTAATAAAGACTTCTATACCAACTTCGCATCGGCTGAAAAAGGCAGTTCGTAAGAACATATTTACAGATATATCGATTAACAGGTTTATAGAAAGTCGAACTTCTAGCTTAATGTAGTTATTTAATGACTTTTTAGTTCCTTAAGAGCAAGTGATGTTACTTTATGTTTTAACGTTTTGTTTTCTGCCTTCTATAATTTTCATGGCAGGTTACTAAGCGAAATACAACCACAATGTTGCTGAGATATTTGCAAAACTCTGGACCGCAGGTGTCTATGGTTCCCCACCATAGACACCTGCGGTCCAGAGTTTTGCAAATATCTCAGCAACATTGTGGATGTTACTTTATTTACTTTAAACTGCTGTGTGAAGTCTTTTTAACAATTAGTTTATAAGACCCTGCTTTTTTATGCACGAAATTCTACAAGTTTTTAATATTTCACGACCGAATAGATGTTTGTCTGAAGGCATTATTTTGTAGATCTAGGCGTTGCTGACTCACAGTGTATCATATTTGCAGTGTGACTTTCTGGTACATTTTTAACTTATTATTTACTGCCTACTCTTTTTAATGGCAGGGTGTATTGCGAAATATAACTTCAATGATGTTGAGATATTTGCAAAACTCCGAACCGCAGGTGTATGCGGTGGGGAACGAACGCGCGCTGTTGCCCTTACCGGGGGCAGCACACTTCACCACCACACCATCCGGGTCCTGCGCTTTCCCTGTCTCTCAGCTAGTTCTATCGATCTTTTTGCTATCAGCAATCACCCGTCAACGGGATTGATCTGGGGAGCCCAAATCGGGATTGAATCCAGTTAAGCTGAGGCTTAGTTATAATCACAATCTTAACCCTTTTATTTACTGCCTTTTTCTTTTTAATGGCAGGGTATGTTGCGAAATATAGCTCGTACATGATGCTGAAGATCAATGTAAAAAGATCGACAGAACTAGCTGAGACAGGCAAAGCGATGGATCCGGATTGTGTGGTGGTGAAGTGCGCTGCTCGCCGGTAAGGACAACAGCGCGTGTTCGTTCCCCACCGTGTACACCTGCGGTCCGGAGTTTTGCAAATATCTCAGCATTATATACGCATTATTGAAGCGTTTGGCCTAGTAGGTTGTATATCATTATACCCTTCCAGGCTCTGAAGAAGGCGATACTGCTGAAACGTCAGCTACTGTTGTATTGTAGTGTGTTTCTATGGAAGTAAATGTATGCTGTTTAACAACCTCGGGATTGCTGCACAAGAAAACGACGCATTCATATTGTTGCACGTAAATTTAATCATTCAAAAGGTTTTGGAAGACTTTATTGGTGACCAGAGGTGCCTTAGAGTTATAAGCGAGAGTTTCCGAATTTTGCTCACATCTCATCAACATTGTGGCTATAGTTCTTTTCTTTGTTTTTATATGACCTTGTATCACATATCATGGATCTCGCCACTCGTTTCGCTTTTTATTTCCTTTTATTTATCCTCAACAAAAATATTTGAGTTCTCCTTTGAATCCTTCGTCTTCTTCGTAAATGTCGCTGAATGCTAGTCGAGCTCATTTTTTAGAGTTCTATTTCGGCAATATATTCCAAAAAAGTACACAAGAATAGAATGTTGTCTATGTAGACAAAACTAATCTATCTAGAAAAAGTTCAAATTCTATACCTAGAAGCTGAGATACCTACAAGAGTATTGTCTATTACGGGAGAATTATATCGAGAAATGAGGTGTGGCTATAACGATATTGAGGGGATCCATTGACATTATGTTCAGCCAAGGCAGACAACTGCATACAAAAGTCATGACTATCTTCTTAACAAAAGGCTGCCTTCAGGAAAATCCACAAGGCCAGAAATTGAAAAGATAATAAGTGAAAGCTTAATAAAGTCAGAAGGGTAAAAAAAAACAAAGGATGTTGATCGATAACTTCTTTGAGAGGCCCCGAATATGGGCCATGCTGCTCTCCTTCTTCTGTCTAACTCCTTTATGTTGTTCTCTATTCATTAAACGTTCAACATAGATGTACGAGGGGTATTGTGTAATCAGAAAACCTTCCAGTGTGATCTGTTCGCCTTCCCAACACAAGCTTTTTATGAACTGGGTCTTCTGATTTGTGCCTAGTTTCCGCTTCATTGAGCCTATTAATCATCATCTCTGCTTCGTTGGTA